TTCTTTATGATTGTCAAGTATTGAATAATATGTCTAAACTTGATCAAGAGTTATATATATTTTTTTTTACATAAAACTAGTTAATTTATGATTTTTTACCTATAAGATTTACATTGATATTCTAAAAAGGATGATATGTTTGTCATTTCTGGTCAATCAAAATGTAATACTCAACTATTAACAAACTTGAATCATTAACAAGATAAGTTGTTCTATACAACAACTGACATGTAATTTCAAGAGTTTAATAATTATTTTAATGATATAAACACAGTTGCATCTTTGCATTCCATGTTTTAGTCAAAGTGAGTTTTTTCATGTTTTTGATAAGTAGAAATTGATATGTCTTTATCAACTTTATCCATCCAACTTCTTCATAATTGAGCTTACAACACTTGATAATTAACTTGAAACTTAGTTTCTTGACACGAGATATTGTGAAGAATTTTCAAAGCTAAAAGGAATCAATGATCTTGTTTAAAATTTAGCATATGCTTTAGTTTTTTTACTTGTAAAATTTGCATTAATTTTGCTAATAACCATCGCATTAGTAGAAAGAATATTCTCATGGATGAAATTAATTAAAAGTTAGTTATGCAATTAAATCAAGAATGACTTGTTGAATGATTATTTGATTATTTATATTAAAAAATATATTTTAAAATGTTGATAGTAAAAAGATCCTATAATATTTTCAACATATAAAATCTTATAGGAAGCAATTGTAAATTATAGAAAAAAATATTTAGAATTTGGTAGAGTGTCTTTTTATAATATATGTAAATTTTTAAATTTTATATTAGAAACTTCTATTTTTTTAAACTTTGTATATCCTAGTTATATTTTTATATTCTTTTACCATTGTTAAAATCAGATACTGAATCTGTACATGCTTGTTATTCATTTAATATTTTTGTTTGTTTTTTATTTGCAGTAACAAAAAAAAACTATTTATATATTATCTTGACTATGTATTATATGTATACATAATGAATAACTAACAAAAACAATAAAGTGTGTGGCCTTTTAACCGTTGGGTGTGTTGTGGATATAAAGTCAATTTATTGTGGATTTTATTAGTGTGGTGGTGGTTTTGCCCTTAATGATCTGGATGGGTTTAGTTCTTTTAACCAGGGGTTGTCTCGGGTTTTCATTGCTTTCTTTCTTGGAGGTGTGGTTAGG